ACTTCTCCCCCAGCATGAGAAGACATGAGGATTTAAAAGGAAGAGCAGCAAAGAGAAGGGAAACTACCATGGATTACAGTAAGGCACACATTACAGTATTGGTTTATGTTAAAAAATCTGAGGGTTTAATGTCACTTTAAGGGGAAATTTTAATGAGAATGGGGCATATTGATCCCAAAATCATAATAACACTTGAGGTGTGCACATTGACTAAGAATTGAGTGAATATATATATAGATAGATAGATAGATAGATAGATAGATAGATAGATGGATCTATCTATCTATCTATCTATCTATCTATATATATATATATATGAAGTGGATGGGAAGAAAGGGATTATGGGTTATAGATAAGTTAATCACTAGAGGTGTATCTAAATGGAGACATGGAATTTTCCCTCCCCTTCAGAGGACAATAAGAGCTGGATGAAGTTATGTGGTAGTGAAAGGTAAAGTGATTAACGCTGGAAAAGAGCAGAGGTTTTCTTTTTAATTAGAATTATGAATAATTTATGTTATTTAAGAGATAAATTGAAGTTACAAACCTCTACATGTATTATGTATTATTGGGAAATAATAACAATAAAAAAAAAAATTTGGGGGACATATAGAGCTTTCTATTGGTGGTATTTAATCATCACTGTTTTTTTTTTTTTTACTATATTAACTAAAATTACCAAACATTTTGAAAAAAAATATTTCCCCTATATTAAGAAACACTTCTTATTACCCAATTTTTTGGTAAATATAAAAGATGGGGTCACGTTGGGTAAATAGACACCAAACATGTCTGGCCTTAAAATTGTGCGTGCCCACGAAACCGCAAGAAACTACTATACCCAAAATTGCCCATAGGCGAAAATTTTTACGTTTTTACCACTCACCACTTTAGTGTTATTAGTGATTAATGGCCCTAACGTTATTGCTCACACCCCGATATTTGTGGTGATATGTAACATGCACAGCACAAGTGGCGGAAGTGATTGCGGAAGCGATTGCAGTGAGAGAGCACGCGCGCAGCAGCGGGGGTGTCGCGAGACGCTAAGAGAGAGGCGGGGGTCATTCAGTCGTAGGGACCGGAGAGCGGAGGGACCGGAGGTCGACAGCAGGGAAGGGCGAGCGCCGGTGGCGAGGACGGACGGACACGGAGCCAAGCTGAGGGAGACCAGAGGTTGAAGGGACAGACGGAGGGACCGGTCGGCCTGTGTGGACAGAGGCTGGGTACGAAGGAGACGTCACTGTCATCAGGAGCAGGTCGTATGAAAGTGATTGGGGTGAGGGGGTTGTAGTTTGTTTTCAGGATCTGTATTGTGGATTTGGGGGGTAGGAGTGTATAGGAGGAGGGTGAGAGGAGTTGTTTAGGGAGGAGAGTGTAATTTTAATTTAAAAAAAGGGTTAACTATTCATTTGTATTTATTTGAGTTATTAATTTACTTGCATTGCATACCAAACTGATAGGATGTAGGTTAAACTGTTAGTGTATGAGTTAAAGTTAAAAGATAAAACTAAACATATAAATAGAAATAGAAAGAAAAGTAGTATTGTTACATTGCTAAGGGGGCAGCAGTAGCACTCAAAGTGTTAAAGCCTAACCCCAACGTAACCCCAGGGGGATAGTGCAATCTAATCTAATCCCAAGGCGCTAGTGCAATTCAAATTTAAATTAATCTGATATCAGTTAATCCCAGGAGGTTTCATTAATCTAACCACAGGGCGCTAATATTATTAATATCACCATTAACCACATTTAACCGCAGGGGGGAAGCATCATTTAATCCAGGGCGGCAGTATAATTATACCAGAGGTCGGTAGTAGGGTTGCACAGATACCAAGTACAGTACTCGGTACAAGTATGAGTACATGTACCGATACTTTTGAGCTCCAAGACTAGATTAGAGAAAAATACAAAAGTTAGGAGGCCGCTGTCATTAGTAAGGAGCACACGGAGCTCCTGGGATTTGTACATCTCTGTTTTAATGTACAATTTAGTTTTTATAAATATAAATAAAGGGATGCACAGATACCAGTTTTGCGAGTACGAGTACTGGTACTTGCCGAGTACTTCCAAGTACGAGTACTGATACATTTTTGTTTATTGTCATGTGACAGTTTTTCTAAAACAATACAGACTAATGATTTCAGGACAGTGGTGGAGCGCCAGAGCCCGATCCCCGCTGCAACCCTGGTAGTTCTCATGAAAATGCCAAGTATCGGCACTGGTACTCGAAAAGTATCTGTGCATCCCTACTCGGTAGTATAATTCAGTATAATTTATTTTAATCTAATCTACATGATTTAATTTAACAAATAAGTTATTGAACGGGCCACTCGTGATTCACTAAACCCTAGATAAATAAAACTACAATTAAATAATGAATCTTATATAATCTCTAATATACATTAAAAATAAAAAATAGTAAGGGTGCGTTCGAGGGGGAATACATTTGCGCTAGATGTGAGTGAGTTGTTTGTTTAGAAACACAGATTCTGGATCAGGAGCAGGTTCCAGAGGTGGGTAGCTGGGTTACTGTTAGAAGGTGGGGGAGGGGGAAGAGTGCTAGAGAGGTCAGCCCTGATCTGATTCACCATAATAAATATGCCAAGTTGCAGGATGTTGGGGATATCAGTTCAGGGGGGACACTGCTGGAGCACAACTCATCCTATATCCGCAGGGGGAGTGAGTGCTCCGGCGAAGACGGGAGCAGGATGGAGGGTCAGGAGAGACAGATCCTGGTGGTGGGAGACTCCATCATCAGGCGGACTGACAGGGTAATCTGTCATCGAAACCGTGAGCGTCGAACAGTGTGCTGAATGCCGGGGACTCGTGTTCGACACATTGCGGAACGAATTGACAGATTACTAGATGGGGTTGGGCACAACCCTGTTGTCATGGTGCACATCGGCACCAATGACAAAATAGGAGGAAATTGGAGTGTCCTAAAACAGGAGTTCAGATACCTAGGTGCGAGGATGAAGGAAAGGACCTCCACAGTAGTTTTCTCAGAGATACTGCCGGTGCCAAGAACTGGGCTGACTTTGCAGTCGGCTATCGGCTCTTCAGCCGAGACGGGCTGCATCTTAATGGGGAAGGTGCAGCATTCCTGGGGGGGGAAATGGTAGAAAGACTGGAGGAGCTTTTAAACTAGAAAGTGTTAGTGGGGAGGAAGAAGGAAGTAAACTTTGGTCCCACAAAAAGAGAGGAATTAAATATATGTACACCAATGCTAGACGTCTGTCAAATAAAATAGAAGAGCTTGAAAAGGGTAATCGAAGAGGACTTCGACATAGTGGGTATAGCGGAAACCTGGCTGGACAGCACGCATGACTGGGCTACTAATATAGAGGGGGTATAACCTGTTTAGGAGGGACAGAGGTGGGAGAAGTAGATGTTCAATGGTGACAGCAACATCAGCGACAAACTATTTAAAATTAACTCCATTACAAAAACTAGAGGCCACCACCTAAAATTGGTGGTAATAAAATTCCAGCACAAGGGGAGAAGGGGGTTCTTCACAGAGCGGTGGAGTGTGGAATTGTTCAAGAAACTTTTGGACGATTTCCTAAGGGACCGTAATATACAGGGGTACAAGTATTCCTAAGAATGAGATCCTATAGGTTGGACTTGATGGACTAATGTCTTTATTCAACCTCAAATACTATGTAACTATGTAATTGTCGTTTTCACTCATTGGCGCACCCAGCGCATATTTATGTTTATATGTGCGAATATGTAGGGGGCTAAAAAATTGTGTTTTCTCTAAGACCTTTTAATGACCCCTTCTTTGGGGACCCTCAAAGAAGCTGATGAAGCAGAAAATAGTGTATGTGTAACAGCCATTACCGGCTGTTAACACCTGTCAAGTGTGTTCTGCTGAAGTGCACGTGCTAAGAGGGAAAAGAAAAAATTTATATTCATGATGCCCTGCTGGAAGGAGCTTGTAACTAAATGGATAGATGGCAAGTGGTTAATGTGCCTGTGTTCTGTACTGTACTCCAAGAAATTGATTTTACTGGTAACTACAAAATCTCATCATTTGGTACGCTGGTGTTATAAAAAAAAACAACAAAAAAAAACACTGAAGGTAGCAGTATTCATCTTCAGACTGTAGGCTTTTATTGTTTAGTAAAGACTTCAGGCTGCATCAGACATAATTGCAATGATGCCAACCTAATGATTGTATAAATTGTTTTGATATCAGGAAAATTGGTTGTATAATGATGTTGAATCCCTAAGATGGTGCTCTGAAAAAAATGTACTCTGCCACGCAAGACACGTTAAAAAAAAAAGAAGCAAATTACTGTTTTTACTGTGATGATGATACAAAACAAAATGTACAATGTTAAATGTAAATATGTCAAAGTCACCCACTCTGACCTCTCATACCTTGCATAACACAAAAAAATATAAATCCCTAGCATATTTTCTGGTGGTCCTCAAGAAACACACAAAAAAATTCTACACAATATGAACAATTTGCAGTAAAAACAGAGGATTTCTTGCTTCCATTTGCAAATACAGTATATGAGGCCACACTGCTCCATTGAAGGCCCGCTCCAAAGTGTGACCACGCTGTATTTTCACAGAACTTCCATCTTGGGACTATTTAGCAATGAAGAAACAGAGCAATTATACCTTGGGGGTTACAAACACTTACAGGAGTTATGATTACATTTGAAACATGGTAATAATGTGAGAATATATCTGAGGATTATGCACAAAAGGCAGTGGTTGCATATTTATTGGGGTTGTTGCATATAATTTATCTTAACGTAATTAAATCATTTATTTAATTTTGTGTCTGGAATATACTTTTGAAATTGGTGGTTGAAACCTTGCCCATGCCCATGTGTTTGATGGATTTTTCTGGAGGTCTATCATCTAAGGTGGTGTTTTTACAGTTACTAGGGCTACAAACTTCAGTAGAATCAAATTTACTTTTTAGTAATAAATATGAAAGAAAACATATTGTAATGCTATGTTCGCTGCATGTTTTACAGGAAATTCAACAACGCCATGAATTAGCAAACTCTATTTCTTCTTACCTTATTAAGCCTGTACAAAGGATCACAAAGTACCAACTTTTGTTGAAGGTAAGTTAAAGAAAAAAAAAATCTAGCAATTATTACTTCATCATTATTTTTTTCAATCACTGCTTATAGCATAGACATAGCATAACCATACAGAGATCACTGGTAACAGTTAGCAATGGATCACGTTGTATAGGCTTCTTTAACATGTGGAAGCTTACTTAACCACTTGAAGATCAGGGTGTTTATACCCCCTTCCGGTCCAGGTCACTTTTCAGTACTCAGCGCTGTGGTACTTTGACACTTATTATCTCACACAATGCTGTACTGAAATTAATTTCATATATTGTTTATGGACACATAGAGCTTTTTTTGGTGGTGTTTAAACAGCACTGTTTTTTAATTGTTTTACCATATAATGAATAAGTACAGAAAACATGTCCCTTTATTATGTTGTGAAACATGTATTATTACCCAATTTTGGGGTAAAATATAAAAGATGGGGTCACATTGGTTAAGTAGACATCAAACATGTCAAGCCTTAAAATTGTGCACGACCGCAAAATCCCAAAAAAACTACCACACCCAAATTGACCATAGGCGACTGTTTAACATCTTGACAGTTTCCTGCTTGTGCATGGTCACAAAGGACTTTTTAAGACGCCCACTCACATCTGGGTACTCTTTCAAAGACATTCTGGTAGCTTAATCAGCCCCTGTCTAAAAATTGGCCCTAGTATGATATTCTACTGAGCATGTCAAACTGGCTGACTTTTCTCTCATCTGCCCAGAAAATCAATATAATATGTGATTTGGACACTATAGGAATACAAATGAATAATTAATAAATACAAATCCAAACTATGTGACTACTAATAGATTTAAAAACAAAAAACTAAGTTTCACAGTTTAAAATAAGCATGGACAAAATAAATCTACCAGCAAAATACAACAGGGTATTATAGTATTCTGAATTGAACTGCCCATTACAGAGTTCTCAACTACTGACATCACGCCTTATAACTTAATTAATTATAACTTTAACCAGCATAGAAATATGTACAATATATTTTGAAATCAAATGTGTGGCATCCTTTTCTCCTACTCTATTTTTGCTCTTAATGTTGCGCAGATAGGGAGAGGATTGACAGGTAGTGAAACATCTGGCTAGTTGTTAACCACCTCCCATCCAGCTATGTTGCTTCTATGCTGGTTAAAGTTATAATTAACCACTTGAAGTCTGCGGTGTTAAACTCCCTTCCTTTCCAGGCCATTTTTCAGTATTCAGCGTTGCAGTACTTTGACTGACATTTATTCCGTCATGCAACGCTGTACTGAAATTACTTTTTTACCATTTTTTGGGGACAGATAGAGCTTTCTTTTGGTGATATTTAATCACCACTGGGGTTTTTTTTTAAATTACAGCATTAAAAAAAAAACTTTCCCCTATATTAAATTATAAAACATTTATTATTACCCAATTTATTGGTAAAATATAAAAGTTGGGGGTCACATCTGGTAAAAAGACAACAAACATGTCAAGCCTTAAAATTGTGCACGCGCGCGAAACCTCAAAAAACTAAAATACCCAAAATTGGTCATAGGCGATGCTTTAACCACTTCAAGACCAGGTGTTTAGACCCCCTTCCCGGCCAGGCCATTTTTCAGTATTCAGCGCTGCGATACTTTGACTGACGTTTATTCCGTCATGCAACGCTGTACTGAAATTAATTTTATACCATTTTTTGGGGACAGATAGAGCTTTATTTTGGTGGTATTTAAACACCACTGGGGGTTTTATTTTTTACTATAATTAGGAAAAATTACTGAAAATTTTGAAAAAATAAAGTTTTTTTTTACATTATGTTAGGAAACATTTATTATTACCCAATTTATTGGTAAAATATAAAAGTCGGGGTCACGTCGGTTAAATAGACACCAAACAAGTCAAACTTTAAAATTGCGCGCACCTGCGACATCGCAGAAAACTACCATACCCAAAATTGGCCACAGGCGACGCTTTAAAAGCTTTTACCGCTCATCAGTTTAGTGTTATCAGTGATTGATGGCCCTAGACGTATTGCTCTCACTCCGACGTTCGCGGCGATATGTAACATGTGCGGCGTAATGGGCGAAATCATCTTTTTTGCACGTATGCGCCCCGACGCATGTTTGCATGCGTGTATGTATGGGTGGGGACTTTACATTTTTTTTATTTTTTTTAAATTCTTTTTTATGTGTAAATTAAATTTTTTTTGGGTGGGGGGACTTTAATTTCTTTTTCCTTTTTTTTTCCACTAAACTTTATTGCTATCACATACGGGGGCTAATAAAACCCCCCTATGTGATAGCAAACTATGTGACTTTTTTTTTTACACTTAATGTTATTGCTATCACATAGGGGGATGACAATCCCCCTATATAATTGCAAAGGCACACTGACGGGTCCTTTTTATGGAGACATTAGGAGTCTGTAAGACCCCTAATGTCACCTGGGCACCCCCAAAGAAGCTGATGAAGCAGAGATCTGCTTCATCAGATGTAAACATGAAATCCGAGCAGCTAAAATAGATTATGAAAAACATATTGCACACAGTCAGTCAAAAGAACCCCAAAAAAGCTTCCAATATATAAACAGTAAAAGAGTAAAGAAAGAGCAGGTCAGCCCAATAAAAGATGACAAGGGGAGATTAATCACAAACGACAGGGAGAAGGCTGAATTATTTAATTATTTTTTCTCCTCAGTATACACTCAGGAAAAAGACAGGTTTCATGGAGATAAGAAGGTGATAAGACAAGAAGGTGAGTAGCTCAGGCTGTAAATTAATGCAGTGGTTGACATTAGCCGGGGTTCAACAAAGACTTGAAAACCTTAATGAAGATAAATCATTAGGACCACATAACCTACACCCCAAGGTACTTAAAGAACAGGTTATAGTGAGACCATTATTTCTCATCTTCAAGGACTCCATAATGTCGGGAAGGGTACCAACTGACTGGCGGAAAGCTACAGTAGTACAAATCTTCAAAAAAGGTTCAAGATGCCAACCAGGGATCTGCAGACCAGTCAGTCTAACATCAATAGTATGCAAACTATTTGGGGGGATGATAAAGGAATATTTAGTGGATTTTATCCATGGTAATGGTATAATAAATGATAATCAGCATGGATTTAGGAGGGACCGTTCTTGTCAGACCAACCTACTGACATTATATGAAGAGGTGAGTAGAGATCTGGATAGAGGAAACAGGTGGATGTGGTATATCTGGATTTTGACACAGTACCGCATAACGCTTAGTACACAAGCTGAGAGCTATGGGCATAGATGAAATGGTGTGTACATGGCTGTACTGGCTACAGGAACGTGTCCAGAGAGTATTGATAAATGGCTCTTTTTCAGATTGGTCTATGGTGGAGAGTGGCGTGCCCAGGGTTCTGTGCTAGGCCCCATTTAATCTGTTCATTAATGATATTGGGGAAAGTATTTTCAGCCATGTTTATGTGTTTGCTGATGATACTAAAATTGTGAGTGTAATAGACACGTACTTAGACACTATAACATTACACCTGGATAAAATAGGGGAGTGGACAACCATATGGAAGATGAGGTTTAATGTTGAAAAATATAAAGTAATGCATTTTGGGGTTAAAAACAGGCAAGAAGAATATACATTTTTGGGTACTCCACTAGGGAAGTCCGAAATGGAAAAAGATGTGGGGGTCATAGTAGACAACAGATTGAATAATAGTTTGCAATGCCAGGCTGCGGCAAACAAAGCGAGCAGAGTACTGTCTTGTATTAAAAAGGGCTTTTTTTCAGTGAGATCGGTTAAAGTCTGGAACTCACTGCCACAAGAAGTGGTAACAGCTGAGAGTATTGAATCATTCAAAAAGCATTTGGATACCTTCCTCAGAGATCGCAACATACAGGGGTACATGTACACTTAAAAACAAGGACGGAAAAGGGACTCATGTACACATACAAATGCACAATCACACACATACACACAAAGGTTGGACTTGATGGACCTGTGTCTGTATTCAACCTCAAATACTATGTTACCATGTATGTAAGTACCACCAGGGCCAGATTCCCCACAAGGCTAACGAGGCCTGGCCTCGGGGCGGCACAGTTGCAGGTCCGGTAGTTTTTTCTACATGTAGTCCTGCTTCGGGAAAGCAGGGCTAAATGTAAAGCAGGGAAGCCGGTGCTCGTTTAGTACAAGTGATGCCGCTGAGGTCACTTGTAATATGCCTGCAGGTCCCCCGCCCCCACTGTCCACCCTCCCTGCTGTGGTTTTTGCAGTCCCTCGGCAAAGCAGTTGAGGATTGAGAGTGTCCATTCTCTGCTCTGTTCCGTGTAAACACAGACGGGAGAGCTGCAATTGCAGCCTTCCCATTTCAGCTGTCACAGGAGTTCCAGCACAGTGATGTGCTCACACTCCTGTATTGGAGGTGACAGGTTTAATAAAGAGGACCTGTCACCTCCAAATGCTATCACACAGGGTCTTGTTAGCTCCTGTGTGATAGCAATAAAGTAAATTGACATTTAAAAAATAAAAAAATTAAATTAAAAAAATTATAATTAAAATTAAAAAAATAAAAAGGGATA